GGAGGGACTGTCCACCCGCATCGCGCCGCCGGCTCCTGGCCCTGGACCCAGCCGCCCCTTCTCTTCGGGCCTGGCCTCCTGCGTGGGGCTTCGGTGCTCCCGGTTGGGCCCCACCCCAGACACGGGCTGCCCTTGCCGATCAGCTCACCCGTAACCGGGTCTCATTCCCGGGCTTCCGTCCCTGGGAGCTGGGCCCGGTCCCGGCAGACACCTGGTAACCAAGCTCCTCTTCTGCGTCACCTGCTCTCCTCCCCTGCCTGCGCCCACGGGGACCCGGCCCAGGGCCCCTGCTCCCGGGTGTGGGCCACCTCGCCAGGAAGCCTCGGCAGACGGGCAGGTGGGAGGTTCCCAGGGCCCTGGGGGCAGAGTACCCCACGCCAGGGCTCTGGGTGTTTCCTCTCGTGCAGGTTGGGCCTGTACAGGTCTAGACGCCCAGCCCCCAGCGGCTGAGAGGCAGGGAGGGAAACAGGTCCCCTGACCCTGTGCAGCCGCCCCCCGCCCCCACCCGAGGCCTCTGCGCCCAGGGGCCCTCTCAGCGTGCTCCCCGGCCTTGGAGAGTTTGGAATCTCTGCATCCCTATCAAGGATCAAGGTCTTCCCGCACAGATTACATCAGAGCCTCACGCAGCGAAGGGACCTACCAGCCTCACTGGAAACCCAGTGTCCAGCCGAGCTCTGCTGTGTCCTCTGCCCACCGAGCACAGGGCCTGACGCGTGAAACGCTCAGTGCTAATCCCCTCCTGCCCCGGCCGGAAGGGGTGGCTGGGGCGCGGGGGACCCTGTACCGTCAGGGATAAGACGGGCCAGCGGCTGGGAGTAGCTCATACGGAGAAACTGAGGCTCAGAAAGGTTAATTAGCCAAAGCGACACAGGCCAACGTCTGGGGAACCGAGGACAGGGCCGTGGAAACCCTGCTGCCCCGTCCTGTCGGTAATGTGTCCACCCCCGCGGTGGCTTCCCGCTCTCTCCTCCGTGACCTCCGTCCGTGACCTCCGTCCGTGACCTCCGGCACTAGCGGCTTCATGGAGTAACCCTTGCCCTTCCTCAGGGATGCTGGGGGAGACCCAGGGGGTTGGCTCTGTAACCTACTCATACTTTGTGGCCCTCGGTTGCCAAAAAGCTAGTCCGAGGTCTGTTCTCCCCGCCCGGGTTGGGGTCGGGGCTGGAGGTCAGGTCGCGTGGATGTGTGTACACACGTGTGTGATACGATGCGTGTGCACACAGGCACGCACCGGGTGTGTCCGTAGGCACGCAGACACATCTGCGCACACACATTCAGTATCGACAGACCTTAAAGCCGCGGGTCTGGGCGAGGTCACCCACCCAGAGGTGAGGAGGAGGGAGCCCGAGCAGCGCCCTAGGCTGGCACCAGGATGCGCCAGGGGAGAAACGGAGGTTGGTCAGAGCGGCAGGTGACGCCAGGGAAGAAAGCCTCCCGAGGGGAGGCGGAGGCAGCCATGTCCAAGTTGCCGAGACGACGGGTGAGATGGGGAGAGGGGATGTGAGGTGAAGAGGCTGGTCTACAGAGACCCCGCGCCGGCCGCGGGGCTCCGCGGGTGAGCCTCGGCCAGCAAACCGGGAGGTCGCGGTTTGATTCCTGGTCGGACATGCACAGGCTGTGGGCTCGATCCCCAGTCGGGGGCGTGCAGGAGGCGGCCGATCGATGACTCTCTCAGCATTGATGCCTCTCTCACGCTCTGAAGTCAATAAAGACATTTAAAAAAAAATAAAGACAATGCTTTCAAGGAGCTTTCTGGGTAGGGTTGAGAGAAATGGGGCAAAATTTGGAGAGAACATGAATTCAGGGAGGGATGGATACTGCAGAGGAGAGGAGGGTGACTGCGGGGGTGAAGGGGGTGAGGGGTGGGAGGCGGCACCCCCCCGCGGGGCCGAGGGTGTGGTGCATGTGCTCAGAGCTCTGATCTTTTTTCCCTGGAAAGGCACTGGTGCTGCCCCTCCAAACGCATCACAGTGCACAGTGCCAGTCACTGAGCGTGCTCAGCTCCGTGAGACCTGCCCCGGGCACCTGTGATGCCGGCAGGCGGGCGGTGCACAAGAGCAGCATCACAGAGGCAGCTCAGCTCAAGGGCGGAGACCGGGGGCCTCCGAGTGCCTTCCAGGCCTCCCTGCCCAGGCACCTGCACACTGGTCCTCAGCACCAGCCTCCCGACCCCATCTCCCTCCCGCCTCTTCCCGAGGCCTGTGGAGGTCAGACGGCTGAGTGGTGAGCTCCAGAGACAGGTAAAGGGACAGGAGGTGCCCACGGGGACGGCCGCGGGACAGCCACGCCGTGGTGGACGCCCACAGCTGTGCCGTGCGCCGGGCACTCCTGTTCTGGAGCAGACAGTCCATTTCCTTTCCTTTCTTTTCTTGGTTACTTTTCATCTGAGCATATTTTTCCCGTTGGTTTTTAGAGAGAGTGGAAGGGAGGGAGGGGGAGGGAGGGAGAGAAACACCACCGGGAGAGACACATCGATGGGCTGCCTCCTGCACCTGGGGCTGGGAACTGAACCTGCAACCCAGGCATGTGCTCTTGACCAGGAATTGAACCCGAGACCCTTGGGTGCGTCCGCCAGCCAGCGCGTGTGAGAGGCCTGTTTCTTTTACATAAAGTGGTTCGTATCTGAATCGCCTCTGAGTAAAAGTCCCAGCTTAAGGAAACCAGGTAAGAAATGTTTAATCTGTGAAGCCCGAGGGACTGCTGATGTGTTTTTATATCAAAAAGCTAAGTGGTTAAGGGGGAGGAGACTGACCTCCCCCGAAACACTGAACTGGCGGGTCCACGAGAAGCGGAGATGAGAGGGTGCCGTAGCCTCGAGCACAGAAATTGCTGACTGCGATTTCTGTGTGTCCCACATGTGCCCAGTAAGAATCAAGAGCTGGTGACAAGCACGTGAAAGGCTCCCTCTGATCATTCAGAAAAGAGAAACACATTCTCTCCAGAGAAAAGACGGAGGAAAGCTCAGGGCTGCTGTGGGGGCGGAGCCAGCCTGAACCCCCACAGCCCAGCCGCGCGGAGTCCACCGGGTCCTGCTCCAGTCAGGCCCCGTGAGCGAGGAGTGAACGAAGGTAACTACGAAAAAGCAGAGAGGCACCGAATGGCTTAGCAGCTAGCAGCCCTTCCAGTTCAGCTATTTTAATAAATAGTTTCACTTTTGTTTGGAAAAGCTGGGTGGTGCTGGTGACCATCTGTTTTCTAAGATAAACGGGCCTCAGCACCAAAGCCCAGCCAACGCTCACCATTCTGAGAGGGGAAAACTTTGGGAAAGTTAAAGCTACAATGCCCGGCGGGGGTGGCTCACTGGTCGACCCATGAATCAGGCGGCTGCTGTTCGATTCTCCGTCCGGGCACACGCCCGGCTTTCGGGCTTGATGCCCAGGAGGCGGCTAATCGATGATTCTCTCTCGTCATTGATGTTTCTCTCTCTCTCCCTCTCCTTTCCTCTCTGAAATCAATAAAAACGTATTAAAAAAAAAAGCTACAAAGAGAAGTCAGCCGAGAGAGGTCAGGACAGGTGACCTCCTCGTTTAGGCCGCGAGCAGGGCTGTGTCCCGCCAGGTCCCCAGCGCGGTGGAAAGGCAGGCTTGGGGAGTAATTAACAGATGCAGAGAGACTAGAGCCGGGTGGGTTGGGGGAAGGCCCTCAGGCCACAGGGGGAGCTGCGGGTTGGACGGGGTGGGCGTCCCCACTGTGCGCGTCCACTGTTGGCGACAGGAACAGAATCCCGGCCCGGACAGCATGCGGTGCCCCATCAGACATCGCTTCTTCACCTTCCTGGCCATCGGGCCCCTGTGGCTCTTCATCATTGTGAAAGTCCCCAAGGAGATTGAAAACGACCAGAATGTGGAGGTAGCAACCCCGCTCCCAGCGTGGGAACTGAGGCCGCAGGGTGGGAACGGTGTGGACAGGCCGGTTCTCATCCGCTCACCTGAGAGCAGGAAGCTCCCAAGGGCGTGGTGATGGACCTGGGCCCGCTGGCCCACAGAGAAGCTGCATCCCCACCCCCCGTCCCCGTATTTGCTAAGGTAAGAAAGACAGCAAATACTGCTTGAGCTGGTGGTCAGACGTCCTGAGGATGTGCTGGGCTCACCTGGGGAGAGTGACCCCTCCCCTCTTCTTCCCCTAGGGAAGCTCCTGGGAAGCCACCAGGGCTGAACCTTGTTCTTTTCCTGAAAGGAGACGCGTGGTTTGATGCCCCAGGACAGTTACAGCAGGAGGAAGGACCCACGACCGTCAGACGACTGGGAAGACCTCACCTTCAAATACATGAAGAAAAGTCAGCAAAGAAGAAAGAGTGAGTTCCAGGGAGGGGAAGGGGGTCCCCAGGGGAGGCAGGGACATCTGGAGAAGGAAGGTAGCGGGAAGGAAAGAAGGGAGGGGCGTGGGAAAGGCAGGCTGTGCCCGAGTCTCCGAATCTGGCAGACCCTCCCCACCAAGACCTCACATCAGGGACACGGAAGGCGGGGAATCACTGGTTAGGGAACATCGGGGCTAGAACGGGCCTTGGTCACAGGGCCCAGTGGATCGGCTGCCTCCTGCACCCCCCACTGGGGACCAAGCCCGCAACCCGGGCATGTGCCCCGACTGGGGATCGAACCCGTGACCTCCCAGGGTTGACACTCAACCACTGAGCCACACTGGCTGCGCAGAAGTGCTCTTACTAATACATCTTCAAAGGAGAGCTTTGGGAAGACGAACTGGGTGAAAACAAAACGCTACTATTGGTGGAGCACGTGGACTGTGTGCCGTAAAGTTCCGGCTCGGAGCGGCCTCGGAGGGACCCTCGGACTCAGCAGCCCAGGCCTAGCTCTTTGCAGGGGCCCCGGCTCTGCACTCCCACTTAGCTTCCGGACGAGGCAGGTGTTGCTGGGATAGGGACCACACTCCGAGTAGCAAGGACTTGAACGTCCCCTCCACCAACAGACAGAACTGATGGAAAAGGGGGGGGGGAAGAGAGGAGGCCCCGAGGGCATCCCCACCCTAACCCCCTTAACCACCCTCACTGCCGGCAGGCACTGACCGCCGTCCCTGTGCTACCTCCCCTAGCGTGGCTGGCGGTGGGCATCTCCTTCGTGCCAGGGGAGGGCCAGAAAAACCTCTTGCACACACTGGCCTCCCTGTTCCGCGCCTCCTCCAAGGGGGAGCAGAAGCACCTCACGGTGCTGGTCCACCTGGCGGACTCTGACTTCACCAGGCTCAGAAAAACCGTCGAACAGATTGCAGGCCTCTTCAGCCCACAGATCTTGGCAGGAAAGCTGGTCCTGATCCACACTCCCTCGGACGCCTACCCCACCGCGGGCGAATTCAGAGACGAGGCCGACGGCGGGAACTTCTACTCCAAGCAGAACGTGGACCACGCCTTCCTCATGAGCGTTGCCGCGAAGCTCTCCGACTACTTCCTGCTGCTGGACCACCACGTCTTCTGTGCCCCTGGCTTCATCACCCACATCCGTCGGAAGGTGGAAGCCATGGGCTCCCACCCATGGGTGCTGCTGGAGTTCTCGAACTTGGGCTTGCTGGGCAAGCTCTTCCGCAGCAGGGACCTCCCACTGCTGGCCCACTTCCTCCTCTTGTTCTCCAGGAACAAGCCCCTCGACAGGCTGATCCCTCATTTCCGCACCCTCCTGGCCCAGAAGAGCCCCCTCCTGTGCAGGCCCTTCCTCTTCTACCATCGGCTCTCCTACTACACCGTCCACCACAGCCACAAGGCCAGGGCAGCTTGGAGCAAGGACCCCTTTATTCCCGACAACCCGCCTGGCGCCGTTTTCACGGACATGCAGGTGTTCGACGTCCATTTCCCCTGGGAGGCCTACACTCTGGACGAGTCTTTCTTCTGGACCTACAACGCTAGTGCAGGGAGCCACCTGACGGTCATTCTGAACCACCCGGCCAACCTGAGCCGCGTGCAGGTGCTGACAGGCACCGTCATGGAGGGAAAGTTCGCCCTGGAGAAGGGGCGGGTGGAGCTGGGCTACGAGCCCCAGGGGGTGCCCCAGTACTGCAGCAGCTACTCCGCGCTGGGCGGTCTCCTGCAGGGGCAGCTGGACCAGGAGCTGGGTGTGGAGGGAGGCATGGGGCACGAGGTGAGCTGCGTGAAGCTGGTGGTGGCTGCTGATCAGGCGGGCGGGCTCCTGGTCAGGCACATTTACCTCTGGGAGCAAAGCTAGAGAGGCCTGGAAGCGGCTCCGAGCTGAAGGTGAATCGGTGAGGGCACAAAAAATTAAAACCTGGACGCCGTTTCCTTCTGGCCTGAGTGTCGGGATGAGGGAAGGGGGTCAGCGGGAGAAGACCCGACTGAGATTCTGGTCCCGTAGAGATGTCAGGAGACCGGCCCCTTCCCCTGAGAGCCCAAACAGTATGTTTTTCTGGGGCAGTGATGGCTTAGCCCGGTCTGGGGAAAGGCCTCGGTCACTCCCGGAATCTGTCGGTTCTCGGGACGCTGAGCTCAGCCCGGCTACAGGGTGCCGTGCGGTCCCGCGGTCGGAGGCGTGGGGTCCCGCGGTCAAAGGGGTGAATGGGGAAAGTGTGGGGCGTCCCTGGAGTTGACGCCACAAGAAGCCAAGAAAGGGACTCTCATTCGAGTCACACTCTCTGAAGCTCAGGAAAGTAGCGGGTGGACCAATAGCCATAAAATTAGCCCCTTAACTCGAGCCTCCAGCTGTGTCCTCATGGCAGTCGGACAGAAATAGCGAAAACCCGAAGCGTCTCCCGCCCCAGCCTCCTCCACTCTGCAGCGCACGGCACTGACAGGCTCCCGTCTCCAAACGCCTCTTCCTGCCCCGACCGTTGTCCTTTCATAAGCTATTTGAGTGCCTACTACGTGCCAGGAACACAAAGAGCCCCTGTTGGCACTATTTTTAAATTGATTTTGGGGGGACAGCATGCCACTTCCTGAGAGGAGGAGAGAGGATAGTTTTCAGCCAGCGGCCCTGAAACAGCCCAGCACCCACATGCAGAGGGGGAAACCTGTGGCCGAAGTGGGTTGTAGCTGGGGGAAGGGGTGACGGGTCCCCGAGGGGTACGGGGCTTCTTTGGGGGGTAAGGAAAATGTTCTCAAATTGATGGTGGCAACGGCACAACTCTGAATAGACGAAAAACCATTGAATTGTATACAGTACTTTCAAAAAGAGTGAATTTTACTGTCTGAATTATGTCCCAATAAACGGTTTCTCCAAAAAGCTGTAGAAGCAGAGGGTTCGGGCGATGTCGTCGGCAACAGGGATCGTGGACGTTTAAGCCGGACAGTGAAGGCCCCTGAGCTTCGGCTGTTTCACTGTCCTCTCAAGCTCAACGTGTCTAAAACCAAACCCTTCGGCTCGTCCCCCTTCCAGACCTGTCCCTGGCAGTGGCTACCTTACCTACGTAAACGCAAGATCCTAAAGCAGTGCTTTCAAAGACCGGGCCTGTGAACCACGCACATCCCACCCCCTTGACCCGCTTGTTGAAAATGCTGTGGCCAAATCCTGCTCGTCTACAGTTAAAGCGATTTCCTGGTTTCACATCCACCGGAGGCTCACGTCCACACCTCCACGGTGACCTCTGAGAGCCGGGCAGCACTAGGCGTCAACCCCAGGCGTTCGCGGGGCCCCACCGGAGGTGGGGAGGAGGCAAAGCGGGACCACAAGCCCCCACCCCCTCTGTTCTCCCAGCTGCCTCGCCGGTCCAGCTGTCTCCCACGCTGACCTCCTTCCCTCCCCAGGCGCCTGCCACACCCGTCAGCAAAGGCAGATGTTTCATGTCCTCCAGCATCGCCTTTTAGGGGAATGGCCTTTGGGTCTCTTGGTAGCCAGTTCCTGCCCAGCTTCGGCCAGGGGTGGGGATGGGGTGTGGACAGGGTCTGGCTGCCCCATTGAGACTGGGGGCCTTGACCCCCCACTCCAGGGAGCTGGGAGACGACCACACCCGCCCGGAGCCCAAGGCTGAGGCCCCTGCCTCCCTCAGGCCCCACTGCCAACCCTCTTCTGTCCAGGTTTCTCATTTTTCAAACCTGCACTGAGTCCCCACGAGTGTGGAGCACCCGGGGCGAGGGTCTCAGTGCAAACTCCGTCTCCTCCAGGAGGCCTCTGCGGGGAGCGCCCTCTGTTGGCCCGTAGTGAGGTTCAGGGAGCGCCCGCCCCTCACTGCCCAGGGTGGCTCTGGGCTGGCACAGCCCCAGAAGCTCCAGGGGTAATGCACACTCTGCCCACCCCCCTCCTGAGCCCCTCCCTCCTGCCCAGGAGCTTCAGGGGGCCCAGGCAGGTAGGACAAGCTTAGGCAGGTTGTCCCCACCCCAGGTGGGCGGGGGAAGGACGGATTTTCCCACCCAAAGGCCTCCGGGCAGCCTCTCCTCCACCCGCAGTTGGTGGCAGAGGCCATCCCAGCTCACGGCCAAGGCTGGGAGCCCCCCCCATCACATTCTGTTTCTTTGTCCCGTCTGTCCTTGGGAAGGAAGAACGAGCCTCGTGGTGAAATGGGAAGTCGGGTGGCAGGGACACAGGGTCACCGACATTCATCACCATCCCATGAACCTTAACTCCCCGACCCGAGGTCACGGGCGATCACCACCTCTCTGTCCACAGCTGGGCACAGCAGCTCCCGCTTCCTGCCCCCCACTCAGGATGCTGTTGTGACTGAAACTCAGACACAGGCCCTGACCCCGCCTCGTCCGTCAGCAGGACCTCTCGTTTGGGTCAGGATGTCCCTGTTCTGTGTGTTTTTACCCGTGTCCGCCACTCTGCCTTCACTTTGGCCCAGCAGAAGGGAGCCAGCTGGCTCTGAGCGGTTAGGCTGTGCCCACCGCCTCTTCCTTCCCGGTCAGCCACTGTCCGCCCCATGGAGACTGTCGGCCAGTTCCTGGGCTTAATTCCCATTTCTACTCACATTATACTACGACTGGTCCACGTACCTTCCTCTCCTAACCATTCCTTCCCTTCCAGGCTCGACGGCAGGAGGCTTCCTGCCCCATGTGTCCGGGACCCCTGGGCAGTGGTCCTGTCGAGGGTCGAGGGCCCTGGTGTTGCCAGGGATGCTGCCCGATGAACTGACTGACCATTTTAGACTCTCTAGGCCCTCCAGGGGGCCTGGTGGGTTCTCTCCCCCACGAGATGCTCCTTCTCAGAAGATGGAAACTCTCTAGCAGCGTCTAGCCCTCCTTCCCACTCGTGCGAGTGAATAAAAGATGAATTTCTCTACGTCAGGTAAAAAATAGAAGCAAGGGATTCCTGCTTCCCACCTGTCGCTGCCGGATGTGATGCGAGAGCTGAGCACCAACCTCCCCCCACCCCCGCCTCCATCCATAGGGCAGAGACGAAAAACCTGGCCTTAAAGGGCAGCTCGGCAGCCGCAAGGAGGCTCTGGCACGAGCTGGGGGGGGCAGAGGCAGGGCAGTAACGACAGGGCTCCAGCCAGAGCCAGATGGAAGGGGAGGCTGGAGCCACAGGGACCGTGACCTGCCTGTGGGGAGGGGAGTCGTGGACGACTTTGGACTCTGCCTGGGACCACATGGGGTCTGTCCCATGCTTTGTAGGATGTTAAGCAGCCTCCCTGGTCTCCACTTCTTTTCTGGTTTGGGGCCCGGAGAGAACGTAGTGGCAGCTGTGAGTTTATGCAAATGTTTAGCTTGTTCCACCCACTGGCACCTGACCCTCCCTAGGTGGTATCTCCTGGGAAAACAGGACCGAGAAGTTCAGCTCCTGGTTTCGGGGTGAAGATACCAGCAGAGCCGGCTGAACACGCTAAACAGACAGGCACAGAGCCTCAAAAATGCACCGGGCAGGTTTTCCTAACCTTCCCTTCCTACTGAGCCTTAACTCCACCTCGAACCCAAGCCCTCTGGGTCCCAGGGGAACCTGGAGGCTGAGAGTCTGCCGTGAACAGCTCTGCAGACAAAGATTCTAAAGAAGAAAGTCAACAGCCCTAACGGGGCCTCTGAGGAATTAAGACAAACAGATAATACAAGCCGAGGGCCTTGTCTTCCTGGGACTGTGAGGACCGAGGAACGGGGGGAGACGCCAGGCTGGAGACAGGCCTCCGCACTCAGAGCTGCACTGATGGCGCAAGATGGGAGACAGAGACCACAGCCCCTGTTCAACGCAGGCGGCTGCCTGGTAGGGGTCTGAGTCCGGGGGCCAGGGCACCATCCTCTCACAAGCCCCTCCCTGGGATCCATCCAGCGGGACTCGCCGATGCTGGGATCAGTTTTCAGGTTAACGCTAACAACTAGTCCCCTCGTGACATTTCCAGGCAGCCCCGAGGCTCCCCGGTGCTTAAAACAAACAGAGATTCACCCTGAGCTGTGTGCCAGCATCCACTGTCTGAAAATCAGAGCAGGCAGGTCCAGGACCAGCCAGGCCTACCCTCCAGCTGGCGGCTGGGCAAGCTCTGTGGGTCTCGCCAGGGAGCATAAGAAGTACAGACCTTCTTACCTAAAAGGCTCAGGAGGATCTTTAGAAGTTATTTCGGACGCTCGTAGCCCCAGACTGAAGACCCTGTTCTTCAGAATCCTGGCTCTGGGACCCTGGGACTGCGAGGCGTCAGGGCAGAGTCCAGAGAGGGAAGCCAGCCCCAGCTGCCCGGCCTGTGGCTTCAGCCTCTACTGCCCTCTGCTGGCCGCCAGGAGGGCGGACAGGCAAAGTGCCGCGTTGCTCCTTGACACTGAAATTGAGACTTTGTCTGGGACGCTCCTGCGGCAGGTGCACTTCCAGCGGCTTTCACCAGAACTTCCACAAGGCTTCCTTCCGCTCAGTGAAGCGGGCCGGGGATCCGGGGCACAGTGCACAGGAGGCTCTCACATCGATGCTTCTCTCTTTCCCTTTCCCTTCCTCTCTCTCTAGTTTAATCAATAAACTATTACTAAAAAACAAAACAAAAAACATTCTTACCTCGCAGGCTCCTGAGCCTCAGTCACTCTGATGCTGGCCTGAGTGGATTTGGCCTGGAAGCTGCAGTTTCCTGCCCCATAGACGTTGTTTCTTAATGTCTCAGTCATGTTGCATAAGGTTTTGCGACCTCACAAATCAGTTAATTTCTAGCTTCCAGCTTTTACTTCCCTCCTCAGCTGTGTCTAATCGCCTGTTAAAATCTTCCACTGAATTCTTCATTCTGATTATTGAATTTTTTAAATTCCAGAGTTGACTTGTGTTTTTACAGTCCAGGTACCTACCGAAGCAATTATTTTAAAGTCTGAGAGCTCCAGTATCTCCAGCTTCTTTGGGGAATGTTTCCACTGTCCCATTTCCTACTCTGGTTCACCCTTACTTTTTCCTGGGGTGCAAAGGACAGAGGGCCTCTCCCCAAAGTAAGGGATAGTCAACAGGTCTATCACCCCTTGACAGGCCCTGTCCCTACTTCTGTAGATTGGTTGCCTCCCACACACACCCTGATCAGGGCTGGGGATCAAACCTGCAACCCAGGTGCGTGCCTTTGACCGGGAATCGTACCTGAGACCCTTCAGTGTGTGGGCCAATGCTCTAACCACTGAGCCACACAGGCCAGGGCAGGAATGTAGCTTTCTACCTGCCTTTATTGTGTCAGGGGGACGAAACGATGACATTCTCATTTTATCATGGACACTAAGTGATTAATGAATGAGTTGACAGACCTCAAAATAAACCTTAAGTTTCAGGTTTCAGCTCTCCTCTGCATTTTCAAGTTATATAGTCTTCCCAAGGACACACAGGAATCTAATTTCCATTGTTTAAATGCCTTTATTTTTTTCTAATCAAACTGAAAAGGCAGGGTAATAACTTGATATTTTTGGCTACTGGACAACGTTTGGCAATTCTCAAAAGAAGAAATAGAAAATTACCAGTAAGTATATAAAAACTTTCATTAGAAATAACATAAATGCAAATCAAAACAATGTGATACTATTTTTTTGTATTAAAGTGGCAAAATATTCTTCTTTTGGGGGGAGGAAGAGAGAAACATCGATTTGCTGCTCCACTTACTGATGCATCATTGGTTGATTCTTGTGTGTGCCCTGACTGGAGGTTGAACCTGCAACTGTGGCATATCAGGATGACAACTGAGCTACCCAGCTGGGGTCAAATATTCTTCTAACAGATACCCAGTGTCAGAACAGTTCAGAGGAGCGAGTCTGTCTTTCCCTGGAGGGTAAATTGTGAGCATGTGCACACCCTGCAATTCCACTTTTTTGTGCCCAAAGGTTTAACTACAAGGTTGCATGTTGTCACACTGTTTATAAGGAACTGGAGACAATGTAATAGTGGACTGTTTAAATAAATACAGAAATACAAGGGCATACTAAAAACAATGGTGTACTTGGGGAATCTACAGACAGAAGTTAGTATGCTGTTAAATGGAAAACACAAGTTATAAAAGAGTACAGTCTGGGCTCCTATTTGTTCTAAAAACCATACATGAACATATTTCTGATTAAAAAAGGAAAGTCAAAGCCTAATTTTAGAAAATGCTTTGCCGGGTTTGGCTGTGCTAGGAGGGGCCCTTCGCCCCTAGAGGCATCTACTTGGTTTTGTTCCTTCTGACCTGAGTGGATAATTCTCACAGTTGTTTTTCTGCAAATGCCATAATCATGGACACTGGACCGCTTTTCTGGAAAACAGTTCTCTCATTTCTGCCAGAGCTCACCAAGGCTCTGGCCGGGGAAGGAGAAAGTAGGCTGGTTGCAAAGCTGTGCCCGAGGCCCACACTCGCACGTTAGCTGGGGAGCTCTTGGAGTATAAACTCTGGGGAGGAGGGGGCTACGGACTGCAGGGCGGCAGGTCTAGCTAATCCTCACTGCAATGCCAGGTCTCCTGGACCCGAGAGGTGGGGTGATGGCAGAATACCTGAATCTGGTTACACAGACTCCTGCTGGGGTGAGTCAGTCATTTCAGAAGAGAAATAACAGAACTGGGAGTCCTACTGTGAGGTTAGTTCACTAACATCGCACTATAAGAGCCACCCCACAGCGGGTTGGAGAGTTTGTATTCTGGGTTGGTGTACAGACTCCCAATGACCCAAAATTCTGTGAGAAGCCAGCCTAGCAGGTTCAGTAAATGACATTACCCATTAAGGAAGTCTTTCCTGAGAACAAAGGAAGTGTTAACCTGTCCAGAAAAGACAAACCTACAGACTCCTGTGTAATATGGCAAAGGCATACTCCCCCATACCACACATCTTCCACTGGGGTTCTGAGAGACCCCGGGAAAACAGCCCCGGCTGTGCTTTCCTTGGGGCAGCTCCTGATGGGGTTGAAAATCTGATTCTCAACCTACAGGCTGTAACCTCACCAGGGTTTGAAGGGAAGAGAGGCCACATTCACTTTCACAACTAGAGTAGAGGCTCTCCCACCTGGTATTAGAGGTGTGTCCGCAGTGTTTCTGATCAGAAGTTTAAATAGTAAAGCTTGTAAAGGATAGATATACTCTTACTGTAAAGTTAGCCACACAACAAAGTGCTCTCAGACACCCGTGTGCTTCCTTGACCGAGAGAGAGAGGTGGAACTTTGACTACCAGCACACGAGCATCCTTTATCATGTGTCACCATGGCTAACAGGTGGATGAAGCTCTTTCAGAGCAGGAAGCAAGAAAGCCCCTGGGTAAGACAGCCCAGCAGAACACAGGAATGAGAAATGTGTGGAAGTGTCCCAATGTCCTAAATGGGGGAAAAGGAGCTTAGGAAATGTTGTGATGCTAAGTGAACTAGGCGAGAGGCATGCACGCGAGGCCCTAAGGAAGCAGGATTAGCCTCTGCAGGTCTGGCTGGACATATGATACTCGCAATTAGGACAGAGAAGCAGCAGGAGAACTGTTACACCAGGTTAAATACCAGTTCTTGTGAGGAGCAGCTCTGATACCTGAGGGTGGAGCTGAGCCCCCTCCCCTCAGTTACTCATGGGAAACCCGTTCCAAGGCCACATAGAAACTGTTCTTGTCATCGAGGCAATGCCAGCCGATTGGTCCAATTTCACAGTCTGCGCAGACCAGAAACTTGATGTTGCCCACGTCCTTGGTGAAGCCCACATTCTCGAAGATGAACATGTCTTCCACCAGCCAGTGCTCCTGTAGGAGGTCGCCATCGGGGCTGCTGCCATCTGCCAGAGCTGGCTTCTTTCTCATGGAGGGAAGGAAGAGCTGCAGTGGGATAACACAAAGAATGTCATGCTGAGCCGCCCCGTCACACCAGCACCCCACTCACTGTGGACTTTACACGGTGCCCTCACATACAAAACACGCAGTCCCATCAGGTTACAGACTAGGATGTGGCTGCTCCTGTTGCCTGCGGTCCGTGCCCTGATTCTTAAGATACACAAAAGAGGAACTCTGACCAGCTGTGGTGGTAACTGGTCTTCACTGCTATCCTGACCTTGGGCTTCAAGACCCCCACATGCTCCTAATCTCCCCCAAGCTCGCAGTACTCCAGCCACACCGGCCTTCCTGCCTTCCTTGGACAGGGCAAGTCTGCTCTGCCCTCAGGTCTTGGCAAGGCCAGCTCCTTCTGATATTCAGCTCAAAAGTAACCTCCTCAGGAGATCTTCCCTAACCAAAATGCCCACTGTATTTTTATTTTTAAAAACTTATTTATATGGGGGAAAGAGAGAGATCGATCAGTGCCTCCTGCACGTGCTGTGACCAGGGATCGAACCCACAACCTTTTGGTGTATGGGATGATGCTCCAATCAACTGAGCACACCGGCCAGGGCGAAAATACATTCTTACTGTAGGAAATTCTTGCTACAAGCTTGCTGCAGTGTAAATGAGAATAAAAGCTGTTACAATGGGGAGTAAACTTCTGTTAACTTGCGTCTAATTTCCTCCTTCCTATGAGCACTTGTGGTTTTAAAACATGTCCACAAATCTGTGAGGATGCTTCCACCCAGAGGTGGAGCGCACGCCTGTCCCCTAGAGCCTGGGCAGGCCCTGCGGGGCCTCGGGGACAGCGCCCTGGCGGCGACACGCGCTCTGGGAGCCGCCGGTCAGGCGTCCGAGTCCTCCGCCCGCGGGCGGACGCGGGGGAGGCCGAGCCCCGGAGATGAGCCGCGAC